AAATAATTGTATTTAATTACTTAAAAAGAATTTCCTAGTTTACAGAAATTTCATTACTTTTATGATTTCGTAAAACTTTTTTGCATTATACAACAATCCAGCTTAACTGGACACTAGCTACCGCCCCCTCTACCACAACAACAACAAGTACACGAACAAGAACAACTATTGTGACTATTATCTGCCCCCTTCCACTGTTTGCATGGCTTTGGCCATGCGCCTTTTTTTATAATGGTTTAATCAATATTCAAAGAGCAAAAGAAGAAGARGAAAATAGTAAGGTAAACTAGCACTGAAACGTTTCGCTTGTGCCCTTTTCTATTTTTTGTTTTTGCTAATTGTATGGGTAATGGTATTACATAAGCCAAGGCATAGGATGAAAAGCAGCCGAAAAGCCATTAGCTCGCCCGGAATGGACACAAGAGTCTGAGATCTGAAAGAACAGGGAGACACATGGCAGGCCAGAAGATAGGATGACTACCGAGCTGAACTAGGTCAGTTATTGAATTTTCCCAGGCGCCGCCCACCGCCCACGCACAGTGTTGCATGCAGCTGACAGACAGCTATGTGCAACGCTCCACAAATGCGCATCGTAACATAAATATGTATATAAATATATAAAAATATGTATATATGTATTTGTTCTTATGGTAAATAATCAGTGGCTGACGGAACATGTCAATTTCGTCTATTCTGATTGACGCGTGTCGCTGGGCCATAAAGGCGATTGAAACTGAAACAGCAACAGAAACAGTAAATCAAACAGAAGGCAGGAAGGAATGCGGCAGTTGACTGCTTGGGGCATGACAACGGTCCCTTTGCTTACCTTATTGATTGCCAACACCCTACAGTTAGCGAATTCGCCTCCTTCTGCTGAGCCTTCTGTGCCAGAGACCCAAATTTTAAGTGAGCCGCACATGAGGCGTATGCGTAATATATGCCTTTTGTCATGCTCCGATGATATCTGCCTGCTAAGTGTCTCTCTTACTGTATGTGTGTGTGTGTGTGGCAAGTAAGTGCAGGCTGTGCCTCCACTGTGCACCTCCTATGGCTTCCTTCAGTGCATTGCACTTTCTTGATTACGTATACGAACCATGGTCGGAGAGGTTACATGCTGGCCCAGTCAAAGACTTTCATCTGGGGTCTGGCTGCCGCAGCTGGAAGCCACACACTTCAAGCTGTGTTGCAATCATTCTGTGGGCAATTATGTGATTACATCCGAGTCCTTTTGACATTTATTAGCCAAGCAGACTGAACCAGTTTCATGAAATGGCTTAAATTCCCTTCAACTACACAATGAAATGTTGTATAATAAAGGC